GGTTTCGGGTTTAGGGTTTCTGGTTAAAGGCTTCGAGTTTAGAGCTAAAGTCTTGCAGACGAACCCAAAAAGAGCTCAGAGGAGATCCAGACCCAGCCATAACGTGGATGCTTTCAACTGGTATCAGTCATTGTGCAACCCAGCTGCGAGATTGCTCGAACTCCTCCAGCAGGCGATCTTCACTAACTACTTCTGCTTCCGTTTTGGAGCTATATTAGCATTGATCACGTTTAATCCTTATGGGTTTTGATTATAACAAAATGTAGAGCTGCAGCCGACAAGGACCCAGACTAGGGTTTCTGCTTACCTGCGACTTAGGTGTCATGAGCCACCACCGGCATCTGAGCAATGACTGAAGCTACTCCTACACATTATGTTTGCTGAAGAACTGTTCCTGAAATCATGGCGATAGTTATTGCTCTTACCATTCTTGGTTGTTGACTGCAAACTCCATGACTGCCTCTCGCCATTACAAACGGCGCTGTCTTTGTAGCATCTTCCATTCAAAGGAGACCCTAAAACCCAAAGCCCTAAGCCCTAAAACGCAAAACTCAAAACCCTAAACCCCTAAGCCCCTACACCTTGAGCCCCTGACTGAACCCTTAGGGCGCCAAAAACCCAAACCCCCATCCGGGAGATTCTAAGCAGGGCAAGTCACCTCAAAAATCCGATTCAGCTTACCTCGTCTCTGGAAGTCCGGCCCAAATGTGAATGGCTTTTAGTTGGGGATCCCATTCCAGCACACAGCCTTCCATGGGCCCTAGTGTAGGAGCCTTAATAATTAGAATAGAGTTTTGGGGTATATTATGCTATGCTATAATTATACTAAGGAACCCCCAACACAGTACAGGTAGTTACTCAGGCCCCTATGTCACAAAGCCCAAAAAAACTGCACCCTAAAGCCCTAAACCCAAAGCCCTAAAAACCCTAAACCCGACACCCTAAACCCTAAACTATATCGCAAAGCCCAAAAAACGCTGCACCCTAAAGCTCGCAGAAACCCTCTGCAACACAATCTTAGCGCTCCTCGTGCCAGTAGTATGACAGCCGATGAGAGCCCAAGGCCACCTTACATGGTTTAGGGTTTCAGGTTTAGGGCTTTGGGTTTCGGGTTTCGAGTTTAGGGTTTGGAGGTTTAGGGTTTAGGCTTACATGGGGTCTCGATTTGGAGTTCAGGGTTGAGTTTCTTGTGGCTTGCGAGGGGTTAGAGCATTGTATAGCGTGTTGAGGGTTTGGGGTGAGTCGGCAGATTTATTTTTATGTTTAACCACTTGTTTTTTGTGTGTGTGTGTGTGTGATTTTATTTATTTATTTTATTTTATTTTTTTTTTTTGGGGGGGGCGTGGTTTTTGGAGTTGTGAGAGTTTACCGCGTGGGCACGTTGAGTGTCAAGGTTCAGGGAAAGTTCGTGTCTCCACAGGCCCGAGAGTGCAAGAACCCTAAATCCTAAGCCCTAAACCCTAAGCCCTAAACCCTAAACCCCAGGCAAAGTTCGTGTCTCCCAAGGCCCGAGAGTGAAAGTACCATCGTCTCTGGGCTTGAGAGCTGAAGGAGCAATGGGGGGTTCTGCATGTGTTACCGGACTCAAGCATGCCCTGCCATGTGCCTGCATATGCACACATATGTATATATATATATATGTATATATATATATAGTATGTATAATGTAACAATATATATATATATATATAGTATGTATATGGTAGATGTATATGTATGTATGTGTTTTTTATTTGGTGGCCTGTTGAGACAGATGTGCCAACGGTGCTGACTCCTCCTCTCGCTCCCTCTGTCGCTCTCTCGCTCTCTCTCTCTCTCAACTTCTGGTTTCTCTTTTCGTTACGTAGCGGCTGCGCTACCACAAGAACGCCTGACCATGTTCGGCCTCTCGCACACGCTCCTGAACACGTGTTGTAGCCCTTTCTTAAACCATGTCTCAGGCACAGAAATAGAAAACCCTGAGCTCGCACCTGCGTTGGGTGTCCTTCCACGGGATCAACATCGTTCAAGCGCAAGAACCTGGGTAGGACGGCTGAGATGATACAGTCCTTCAGGTTTAGGGTTCAGGATTTAGGTTATACACGGTTTCGGGCAACGGCAAGTACTACATAAGCGCGCCCAACACCTCTTAAAGTCAGAAACATCTTGAAGAATCAAGATAAGACATCAGCAGCAACAAGTAGAATAACAACATCAGCAACACCAAACAGTAAGAACAACCGCACTATATCGTCAACAAAGCAAACCACAATATTGTCAACACCGCTAGTAAAAATATCGCTGGTACTAGAACCAATACTAACTAAGGATGGCGGGCAGAATGGCCACATCCCATCGTCCCTCATATCAATCATGCTCCTCACCCTCAGAATCTCAATCTGCAGCATTCATGCCCATCCGGATCCTCGCAACCTTTACGACATCGCCATCATCATCATCGTCGGTACAGCAGCACTGCCTGGGGCAGTAGTAGGTGTAGCAGCCGTTTGAATACCCAGGGAGTCCTCTGACAAAGGCGATGACAGGAGGCTATTACGCAGTTCGCTACGCAGACGATAGGTTGCTATCTCCATACAACCACCAGTGTAGTGGCCTCTCGTTCATTTGTAGCTATTGTAGGGGTCTTAATAATTAGAACAGGGTGTCGGGGCCCAGTGTTCTATAATTGCAATAAGGAGCTTTAAGGAACGATATATAATGCCCCTATATTAGCTGGGCTTCTAAGCAATAAATACGAAAGCTTCAACCCCTAAGCCCTAAACCCCT